AACTTGCTCAAATTTAAAATATTACTAAGTTTTATGAACCAAACAACCAAAACAGTGAGAATAGTGAATTTTTAGGTCCAAAAGTGAGCAACTCCACTATTTCGTTTCAAAAGTGAGAATAGTTTGCCGTTGGCATCCCTGCCCTTGTTTTCCTGGGGAAGTATCACCCTTTTTCTCGGTGATACATTTGTGTACTACCTTTTTTTCGGTGATACGTGCGTGTACGACCAGTTTTTTCGGTGATACATTTTCGTATCACCCTTTTTGGCCCGTCGCGTGTTCTTTTTGTAAATAAAAAAAATTGACGGAGGGACGGGCATATAGTATGATGCATGCTGTACGTCCGTCCGAGGACTTCCCATGGTCCGATCTTGACCAAATTTGGTATGCAGCCTCCTTGGGTGATCCTAATAACCGCCCCACAGTGGGACAGAAAGGTGAAAAACGGGAAAAAAATAATTGAGTACGGTTCTTTATTAAACCGACCATGCTGATTTCGAAAATGAAACCCATTTTGAAACCCGGGTTCAAACCATGCAGGTTTCGTGACACTGAAAAAATTCCATTGCAGATAGAAAGATGCGGTTTTCAAATTTAGATTTCTCATGAAAAATTGAGTCAGAAACCGTCGGAAAATATTTCGGATTAAAGGTTTGATACCCGGAAACCCGCCCAAAACCCCAAATTATGACAAAAATCCTGGGTTTCATTAAATTATCTAAAATTCCACATGAGATAGAAGGATGCGGTTTTCAAATTCGGATTCCTCATGAAAAATTGAGTCAGGAACCGTCGGAAAATATACCGGATTCAAGGTTTGAAACCCGGAAACCCGCCAAAAACCCCAAATTATGACGAAAATCCTAAGTTTTAAAAGAATATTTAAAATTCCACATGAGATAGAAAGATGCGGTTTTCAAATTCGGATTCCTTATGAAAAATTAAGTCAGGAACTGTCGGAAAATATACCGGATTCAAGGTTTGAAACCCAGAAACCCGCCAAAAACCTCAAATTTGGACTAAAATCCTGGGTTTCATAATATTATCTAAAATTCCACATGAGATAGAAGGATGCAAGTTTCAAATTCGGATTCCTCATGAAAAACTGAGTCACGAACCGTCGGAAAATATACCGGATTAAAGGTTTAAAACCCGAAAACCCGCCAAAAACCCAAAATTTTGACAAAAATCCTGGGTTTTTTAATATTATCTAAAATTCTACATGAGATAGAAGGATGCGGTTTTCAAATTCGGATTCCTCATGAAAAACTGAGTCAGGAACCGTCGGAAAATATACCGGATTCAAGGTTTGAAACCCGAAAACCCGCCAAAACCTCCAAATTTGGCCGAAAATCCTGGGTTTCATAATTTTATCTAAAATTCCACATGAGATAGAAGGATGCGGTTTTTAAATTCGGATTCCTCATAAAAAACTGAGTCAGGAACCGTCGGAAAATATACCGGATTCAAGGCTTGAAACCCAGAAACCCGCCAAAAACCCCAAATTATGACGAAAATCCTGGGTTTCATAATATTATTAAAAATTCCACATGAGATAGAATGATGCGGTTTTCAAATTCGAATTCCTCATGAAAAACTAAGTCAGGAACCGTCGGAAAATATACCGGATTCAAGGTTTGAAACCCAGAAACCCGCCAGAAACATCAAATTTTGACGAAAATCCTGGGTTTTGAAAGAATATCTGAAATTCCACATGAGATAGAAGGATGCGGTTTTCAAATTCGGATTCCTCATGAAAAACTGAGTCAGGAACTGTCGAAAAATATACGGGATGTATGATTTGAAATCCAGAAACGCGCCAAAAACATCAAAGTTTAAAAATTATCTGCATGTTTTTGGCGGGTTTCTGGGATTCAAACCTTGAATCCGGCATATTTTCCGACGGTTCCTGACTAAGTTTTTTTTGAGGAATCCGAATTTGAAAACCGCATCCTTCTATCTCATGTGGAATTTTAGATCATATTATAAAACCCAGGATTTTTGTCAAAATTTTGGGTTTTTGGCGGGTTTTTTGGTTTTAAACCTTGAATCCGGTATATTTTCCGACGGTTCGTGACTCAGTTTTTCATGAGGAATCCGAATTTGAAACTTGCATCCTTCTATCTCATGTGGAATTTTAGATATTCTTTCAAAACCCAGGATTTTAGTCCAAATTTGAGGTTTTTGGCGGGTTTCTGGGTTTCAAACCTTGAATCCGGTATATTTTCCGACAGTTCCTGACTTAATTTTTCATAAGGAATCCGAATTTGCAAACCGCAAACTTCTATCTCATGTGGAATTTTAAATATTCTTTTAAAACTTAGGATTTTCGTCATAATTTTGGGTTTTTGGCGGGTTTCCGGGTTTCAAACCTTGAATCCGGTATATTTTCCGACGGTTCCTGACTCAATTTTTCATGAGGAATCCGAATTTGAAAACCGCATCCTTCTATCTCATGTGGAATTTTAGATAATTTAATGAAACCCAGGATTTTTGTCATAATTTGGGGTTTTGGGCGGGTTTCCGGGTATCAAACCTTTAATCCGAAATATTTTCCGACGGTTTCTGACTCAATTTTTCATGAGAAATCTAAATTTGAAAACCGCATCTTTCTATCTGCAATGGAATTTTTTCAGTGTCACGAAACCTGCATGGTTTGAACCCGGGTTTCAAAATGGGTTTCATTTTCGAAATCAGCATGGTCGGTTTAATAAAGAACCGTACTCAATTATTTTTTTCCCGTTTTTCACCTTTCTGTCCCACTGTGGATCGACTCCAAACGCGTCATTGGTCCAGTTGTGTCGCCCCGATTCCGAATATACCCATATTTGCTGTCCTAAGTCGACAACACTGAAAATTCCTTGTACAAGGGGAGGGGGCGCAGGGGGAGGGGGGAACTGGGAGTGAACGGGAGGGGGAGGGGAAAGGGAGGGGGCCGGAGGCGGGAGGTGAATGCCCTGAGACGACCTATGCGATTGACATGCGTCGGGACCCGTCGGATCCGAGGACAGTTTTGGAATCCTCGTGAATTGCAATTTCTAAAACCATCCGGGTTGTAAAATTAGATCTAAAACTGACTCAGTAAACGCAGCGAATGTATGCGCTTTTTGTTGCGATATTTCTAAGCGAATAGATACATGTGACTTACAAGCCTTCTATGAGAAAAACGAAAAGACGCATGATAAAAACAAAGACAGATTTGGATTCGGCACACTTTTTTGAGCTAGGAAAGTGCATTTATTGGAATCTACATAAGGGTTGCGGAACCCGACTTTTTCCCGTCAAAAGTGGTCTTTCCGCCCACTGTGCGCCCCTCAGAGAGTGAGATGTATCACTATTTGATCCACCTTGGCCTGCGGCCTACGGGATTGCAAGGCAACGTACGAAATTAAATCTGCACTACGGTGCGCACAGATCTGTGCGCAACAATGCATTTTTTTCTGCATACCCACCCACAAAATCGTGCATTTTCGCGTACAATTTCGTGCCTTACAAAGTGCAGGTTTGATTTCGTGCGCGGGCGCGCACTAAATCCTACACTGGGAGAAATAATGAAGATTGTGGGTGTTAAACCTAATGCCACTTTCCACTGTTTACCGAAAGAAGGTGTTTACCGTACCCTGGGATACAGCAGACACTGTGCCTGAAGGAACGGCGTTCACTGTATCCCGGGAACCTACATCCACTGTACCTTGGAAACTGTTTAGACACGGCATTCAGTATAACTGTAAAATAAAGGTGAAATTTCAAAATCACGATAGGAGTGATTCGATGACGGAAATGATTTATCTCAACAAGACGAACAAAAAAATGATTAGCATGTTATGGCCTCAGACTCGAAATTCAACAGATATCGGCATCAAAAGCTTAAAAAAAGTAGGATTTTGGACCGTTATTTGATGAGTACGATGTTTTAGAGTCCAAAATCCTTCTTTTTTAGACTTCTGACCATGATTTCCGCTGAATTGCGAGTCTGAGACCATAATATGCTTATCATTATTTGTTCGCCTTCCTAAGATAAATTCATTTCCGTCATCAAATCGTTCCTATCGTGATTTTCGAATTTCGCCTTTTTTTTACAGGTATACTGAATGCAGTGTCTGAACAGTTTCCAAGGTACAGCGGATGCGGGTTCCCAGGGTACAGTGAACGCCGTTCCTTCAGGCACAGTGTCTGCTGTATCCCAGGGTACGGTAAACACCTTCTTTCGATAAACAGTGGAGAGTGGCATTAGGTTTGACAGCCACAATCATCTTTATTTCTCCCAGTGTAGATAGTAATTTAGTGTGTGTACTACATGGTTCACTCAAATAATAGTCATCCTAAATGTTGACGCAGACAATCGTCCTTGTAGGCATGATGTAAAAATAGTGTGTACATGGAAGGTACACTGAAATGCGCTTGCAGGGTAGGATAGCCGCAGTTCAGATTTTACTGATCATGTACAACCTTTTTTACGGCGTCCCTCCGCCCGCGTGGCTCACCTTCACGAGCTGCTGGCGTTTCAAAGGCTAAAACGCGCGCCCCTGGCGCGTAGTCCCGGGGAGCCCCCTAAAGCCCGAATCACACTAGCGGATAGCGGGGGGGGATGGCGGTTGTGGATGCGGGTGCGGGGGGCGCTCGACCAATCACAGCGAAGCGGTTGGCGATGGCGGGTGCGGATGAGAGAATAGCCGACCGGCTTTTTTTTCATCCGGCAACCGCATCCGCAGCCAATGAGAGTCGCTCGTTTTGTCACGTGACACAGCAGACGACAGCGCAGCCCGCGCAAAGCCGTCGCCGCGAGAACAAAGCACCTGTTGGTAGGAAAGGCGATTCTACACTAAGTTTTCTCGTTTTAACGTGTGGTCTGGGGGCGCATCTACATTGAAATGCCACCAAAAAAAAACAAAAATTTGTTTACTATCGAAAATAAAATTTTTAATGATTGAACTTATCGAAAGAAGGCCGATATTGTGGGATTCAACTTCTGAGTGCTACAAACGAGCCGACTTGAAAAATGCAGTTTGGAATAAAATCGCTCAGATTATGGGCCCTAATTTTACTGGTGAGTGGAATAATAGGCCATGTTTTCACTCAATCATTAATTACAATCTTAACTTTTGAAGTGTGTGGAGGGTTAGACTAAAGTATTATTTTTAGGTTATGCTGACTTGTACCTATGTGCAAAAAAGTGTGCCCAAATTTTTGTTTGCAGATGAAATGCTCTCCAATCGATGGAAGAGCATGAGAGAAAGTTTTGCGGATAATTGGAATCGGCTAAAGGAATCGAAGAGGAAATGTAGTGGAAATGGAGCTGATGACGGGTACAAACCGAAGTGGAAGCTTTGGTCTAAACTTCAGTTTCTTATTAAAACTTGCATGCAGTCAGATTCCTTTTCCAATCTTCCTGCTGAGAACTATAACCCAAATTCACTTATTGATTTGGAGATTGAACAGAGCATTGATTGTTCTGCGAAAGACTTGAGTCAAAGTGAATCGCCAGTACCTATCAGTGTTTACTATGATGAAAATTTGAAGGTGAGTGCCCACAATCACATTGTAAGGAATAACAATTTAGCCACTACGCCATATTATTTTAATAAATCAATTTTTGTATATCATTTCAGAAATACATGATGATTCCCAAGGATTCCAACTTCTCGCTTGTTTCGAGCTGTGATTCTATATTTCAAGAAATGTCATCTGACACAGGAAATTCTGAGTTATCACCCTTTTCTCCTCGGCCATCCTCATCACCAAGGCCATGCAGCTCTCCAGCTCTGACTGAAGGATCTCAAGTTGTACGATCAGGCCCTTCATCAGCACCAGGTGCTGTCGAATTTCCAAGGAGTGGCACTCAGGTTGGGAAAGATTCTACAGGAATGTTTGGAAAGCGTGGCACAGCTAAACGTAAACCCTGATACTCTAGATGAGGCACTGCGTGTTGTTAAGGAGATGGCAAAGGAGCCAGAGCCAGCCGCTGCACCACCTGACAGTGTTGATACCTTTTTGTCTTTTGTGGGAAGTCGGCTGAGAGCAATGGATTCTGGAGTGCGCAAGCAGTGTGAGGACCAAATACTGTCAATGTTGGTGTCAGTCTCTTAGAAATAATGCTAAGGTTTTTATTTCTATTTTTTACTTTCATTAAGCTCTCTTACTTAACAGTATTTTCCTAAGTATTATTATTTCTTACTCTCCTTGCAGCAAATTTTTTTGCTGTGGTTTGCTGTTTTAGTTTTAAAATTAAAAAAATGCCAAATATGTCTCTTACATTATCTAGTTATGTTTTTCTTAGTCAGTGTTAAAATTTGCCAAAAAGTAACCAATGGTGCCAAAAAGTTTTTGCTGAGTCTATGTTAGGTTGACCAATGAGTGTGAGGTACCAAAAACAAAATTTGGGTTACCAAACAGTTCAAGACCCTGTATAAGTATTAATTAATGCAAAATATATTTTTTTTAACTTTGGTAGTATGTATTTTAAGTACAGTTGGATACCAAATTGATTATATTTTTATATTATAAGCTTTGCTTGACAATTTTTTTTTTTATTACTGTTTTGTACTTCCATATGTATAAAAAAATTTTCCAAACATTGCAAACAAATGATGTTACAACAGTCAATGTCTCAAACCAAACCAATACACTGTGCACATGGTGATAACATTAAACTCCTTGAGCACTCACTGATCACTTATTATATCTTGCGTGGTCAGTCATTTTGTCTTGCCACGGTACAGTTCCCACAGTGTTGAAATAAGCACACCATCTGTCTCTCAACGCCAATGCAGCATCTGCATGTCGATTTCCTCCTTTGGGTTTTCAAACCGAACAAGACCGCCACATTGCTCCTGGTGATATTCTCCCATCGTATAGTTCCTGCCATCTCGTCTTCAACATCCAGCATATGGGGAGGCGCATACATGGCACGACCAACACTGTTTGACCGTAGACAGTTGTGGAGACAAATAATTGCTTTCATAATGTGACAGACATCATCAGGATCGTAACACATTGGAGCCCTAAGAATTTGAAATCTTGCAGCCATTATCCCAAATGCGTTCTCAGAGCATCGTCTTGCCCTGCTCAACCTATAAAAGAACAAAAAAAAAAAACAGGAAAAGTATTGCACAGAACTTCAGGTGGAATGTCAGGGAAAACTTTGAAAAGTGACATACCTGTAAATTTAAAAATTTTTCTATCCCTTCTATTTGAGACAGATTCCTTGGGGTATGGAATTAAGAGTTTTTCTGACAATGTAAACCCTTCGTCACCCACAATTACATAGGGAATTCTTGTTCAGTCCCAAACAGCCTTGATGGTTGAGGAACTGACATAGTATTGTTTTCTAAATGTCTTTTCAGGGAAAAGCTGTTCCATATTCCCCTGTCTGAGGCACGACCATTGGTTCCCACATCTACATACACAAAGCGCAGTTGTGCATCCACAACAGCCATCAGAACAATGCTAAACGTTTCATGATAATTGTAGTACATGGATCCTGACTTCAATGGGCGAGTAATGGCTACATGTTTTCCATCCATTGCCCCAATACAATGAGGAAAGTTCCATCGGTCTTCAAAATCCTGTGCAACTACTTTCCACTCCTCCCCGCTGCTGGGGAACCGCATATGGTCTGGTGCAAGAACTTTAACAATGGCTTTAACAGTTTCTTTGATAATTCCTGATATAGTACTTTGGACGGAAACTAAGATGTAATGAATCCTGACTCTCACCTGTTAAAAAAGTAAATGGGCATTTTTAAACTCTGTACAAAATTAAACACAGAGTTGAAAAACAAAATTGTATTAAAAAAAAAAAAAAAAAACCTGTTGCCAAGTGTCTTAATGTTAGAGAAAGGCGCTCAGCTGGAGAAATACTTTCTCGTAAAAGAGTATTCTGTTTCTGAATCAACGGTGTCACTCTCTCCAGCAGATTCATAAACATGTCGGTATCCATTCGCAAGCACCTAGAATAACGGATTTAATAAATAACTTCGAAAACGAAGACTGACAGTGCTGGTGTCGGTAAATTAAATGATTTTTTGGTCACCTGCGAAATTTTTCTGGATCTTCCAACTGCAATTCCAAGAATAAATTGTGATGACACCCTTTTTTTTTCTTCTAGCAACATAATGCCGAATCCAAATTTGTCTGTCAGGTAGACTGTCTTTCATGTAAGCAATAATCACAAGGAGAGCAGCCAAAATAACTTTTCTCCTACGGCGCTGCTGGTATAACCTCTCCATATTTACACACAGCTGTCTTTCACAACAAAATTTCCGACGCCCTCTGTTAAAAATCGGAACGGACTGGCACGTTCTGAGCTGTTGCAGAGAAAGGGTGTGCGGTCGGCGGGATCCGCAACCGCATCGAGTAGTGTGATTGGTGTATCCCCCACCCGCATACGCATCCACAACCGCCATCCCCCCCCCTATCCGCTAGTGTGATTCGGGCTTAAACCCCACGAAAACCACACGCTGACCGCACCCTCCGCCGCGCTGGGGGCCCCGGGATTATTTTCCCAGCGGCGGGGGACAGCAGCCCCTTTGGCTTGGGATCCCGGGGGCACCACGAGGCAGCTGTGGCTCGCGTCCAACGGGGGGCGCTGCGGCCGTGCGCACACATGGCCAGCACCACCTTGCCTGCGACACGCACCTGAGAACCAGCAGACAGTAAGACTAATGCTGCACGAAAAAAAAAAAATCTCCATCGTAGTGGTCAACGTCGTTCGATTGGCAAATTTCGCT